TTTCGTTATTATTTCTCCTTTCTGATGCTTTTTTCTTTCATTTTTTTCCATAGGTAGCTAAAAAAATCATAAAATTTATAGACAGTGTGGAGTTCTGTTGAGGTTAAAAATAATAAAGGACTTTTTATGCAGAAAAAAATATGATGCAGCAAAGGTTTTGCACATAAACAAACGGAATTCATACATAAAAATTTCTTCCTTTTTCATCATGATTCAAATTATGTATTTATAATGATGCATCGCTACCTTCTGCATTGAATTTTTTTTTACTCTTTCACTCTTCCTGCTTAAATTGTTTGTGTATACTGAATATGAGAATCTAGCGTATGAGGTAATATTATTTATGGTTTATGTAGTAAAGCGCATTTAGTGGTTTATAAAATTTTCTAATCTACAAAATCTCGTGATATGATTTGAAAATTATAAAGTTTTTGAATTTCTATAACAGCCTCAAATAATATAATTTGGAAAAAGATCTCGAATTAATGTCCAGTTGACTAGAAGTTGATTGTATCAATATAGACTTCAATATCTTTGATTGATTTCAAAAGCTAGAATCTAGTTTGCTACCAAATCTACAAAATGTCGATTGGTTCGACATGAACCGAAAACATTTTAGAAATACTTAAAGATATGCTTCTTATTTAGGTATAGCAATTCAGTCTATAGTTGAAAGTTAACTCGGATTTACTAAAGTTTGAGTGGGAAAGTAGAAGATCAGTAGGCTGTAGGCAGGGCTGTAGGCAATTCATGGATGAGAAGCTATTCGTCACAAAAAGTTTTAATATTACTTAAGCTTTAAAATTTCGAAAAAGAAGAAAAAACAATTTGCAAAAATAAAAGGATTTTTTTTCTGAAACATCCTAAAGAAGTACCTTTTTTCTCATTTTTGTGTATAAAGTTTAAGTCCATTTTCTATTATTTATAAATCTCGAAAAGCTTTTCAACAAAATTTGTCAATTTTTTTTCAAAATGTACTCGTATCCATTTCAACCTGTAACCATAACACCAATAAATTTATTATTTTTTGGATCCAAGATGAGATAATATATTTTTCTTGATACTATGAATGCTCATAGCCATGAGCTTATCGTCACCACGAGTGTTTGCATATAGAATTCATATGATACGCAAAAGAAAAAGTTTTGGGTATGTCCGTTCAAGGTAAAATTTGTAAAATATACAAAACGACCTTCATGAAAATTCTGTTATGTTCTTAAAGCATAATTGATAAGCACAGCCTTGATGCAAAAAAAAATCCTTTCACTTATCTTCAAAAGTAATGCTTTCAATGATATAAAACCTTGCTTTTATTTTCGTATACAAATCTGTTCATCACAGCACAAGTTACCTAAGGCTTCATTCAGTTATGATATCAAAAATTGGTGTTGGATGTTGCAAGTGGGCTTTTTTTGACTGCTGCTTTTCTGTTGATTACAATTTTTGAGTCCTATCCATGCTTTTCAATCCATACAGGAACATTTAAATTACCTTATAAACATCTGTGACTGATATGTAAGAGTCATAGGCAGCATAACACGATTTTATCATTGACATCATAAATGAACAACCCATAAAGAGAAGAACTGAAGAGAAAAAGAATCTGATGAACAAAAGAACGTTGAAGTATGAGTGGTATTTATTCAAAGGAAACGAATAAATTACATTGCAGATTCCCTGAATGTAGAATTCACATTTCTCATTCATTCATATATATATCATAGTTTAAAATCATTGCATCACATTAAGGAATAATCTCGTCTCTCATCTCATCTCGTGCACATATAAAATCCCATAAACCTTTGATTTTTGACATAGAAATGACTTTGTGGAATGCTTTTAATGAGATTCTTAAAATAAATTTAAATAAATAAACCAATTAGGTAAATGCTGCATTTTTATAAGCGAATTCCATTTCCATAAAAAAAAAATGTTGATTGATGAAACTTTGTAGCATTTGATAAGGAACAAAAAAAGTGAAGAGCTTTATACTCCAGCTCAACAGCATCATTTATCATTTGCTATAACAATTTTCTTTAAAATTTTTACCCGCGAGTAATGCGTTAAATTAATGAGAAAGAAAAGGAGCCGCAAAAAATTCTCTAAAGAATTCCTCCTTTATTCTAATTGAAGCGACAAGAAGAAGAGTGAAAGGAATCGACGAAATAAGTGGGAGAAATAAAAACTTTTTCATTGAAACGATGAAGCCTTCATTTAAAGTTAAAAGCGGAACCGAGCTGGGATGTCCGAGAAATACAGTAGACTATGCTTCACATTGGATTTGCTAAATGATTAAAATCAGGTCTTACATTTTTAAAATCACTTATTTTCTTGTTAAAAAATACATTTAATGGATGTAAGAGATTGGATGCATATCAAGACTATTGTTTGAAGAATAGTTTCTCATGCATCCAGGAACAGGTCGTTGTTTAACCTTGCATCTTTGACTCAGGTCTGAGATTAAGCCTATACTGGCACCCAAACGAATAAAAGCCTAAAGTTAATCATGTGCGATTCGGTGATTTAGATCAAAAAAATGTGGAACCACAAGAATTTCCTTTTAAGAAAGAAGATTTAAGAGTGGGAATTCATTAAACATTAATGCAATATAAATCAAAAGCAACTTCTGCAAGTAACGCTATGAAAAGAAAAGTTAATCATTGTCTCATGCGACTCAAAATGACCCGTATATTATCAAAGTCCAATATTAATTATGCAATAGAGAAAGGCAAAAAGGCGAGAAGAGAAATTGTAACGCAAAAGATTATGAAAGTTAAAAGCAAAAAAAAATATTGTAGAATTAAGAACAGCGAAAGAAAGAAAGGAAATTGAAAATTAAATTTCGCAATAACGCGAGAGAGAGCTTTACTTAATTAAATATATTATTACGGAGCATCAATAAAATCAGCAATGTGAAATATTTTTCCCATGTTGAAGAATAATTTTTCATATTCTTCTTTCTTTCCTCCTTTTTGCCGCTCTCACTCGTATCATTTCAATTCATAATCAGTAAGTAAAATAGAAGGAATGGGAGAAGTAAATGGGGTCTGTCACAAATGCCGTCTAAAATTAAAAGGATTGATAGTTGAATCTAAAACAATAGTGAAGTAAACGATTTCGATGATTGAGAACCAATCAAACAATTTTGTATGCATTAAGGTTTTGGATTAATAGTTTAAGTTGGCAATCTACAAAGCCTACGATTGATAAGATCATGCAACTGGAAATCAAAAGAGTGTGGTTCCGATTCCTTACTTCCTTGTTCGTGAGCCCATTTCCGTGTTAGAGATCATCTAAAGACAACTCTATCCTTCGAGACCTGCTGCCAGTTCGGAATATTAAGGACTCATGCTTCCTTATCAACACTAGGTATTCTTTGGTCTTCCTCTTGATCACTTGCCATCCATAAAGTTTGCAACCGATTCCGACTCAAAAGAAATTATTAAAAAATTCCTATTTATTTTAAGTATTTAAATTGATGTTCTTTAAATTCATCAAAATCAAAGTTGATAAGAATAAACATTTTCCATGTAACTCAACAAATGAACGAATCCCATGGAGTTCAAATGGATGGAGAAATGAAATTTATTTAATATGATTGAGAGAATACGAATACTGAAAGGAAGAAAAAAAGAAAAATCCCTTAAAAGATCCATAGGGTAAAATGGTTTTATATCGTGCGCTCCTGAACGAAGCAAGAGTAATTTTTCTTAGTGATATTCCTTAATTAAATATTTATGAATGATGCCTTTATTTCAATGAAACAAAAAATGGAAATAAAAAAAATATCTTCAACAAATGAAATGAGGTAAAATATTATTCCGGTATGAATTCCTCTTACTCTTCAATTATTGAATTTTTATATAAAACTTTATGATAGGGTTCTTATAATAGGATTAGCTCATGGTGTAAGGGGGGCTCTTCATTATACAAATAAATTAGAAAGAGTCACTCTTCAATGTTCGTATTTCAATCATTAAGATTTTTTGAGTTTGTGATTACAGTCGGTCGTAGATTTTGACACAGAATATTAAGGAATTATGTGGCTTTATATAAAAATTACTTTATCAAATTAAAATAAACTTTTATGATTTGAATTTTAAATAGAACACATCTAAGGCTTTATGACTTTAAATGAAACTTTTAATAATAATTCTCTATTCAAGAGTTATAAGCTTTTAAGTCTTTGAAATGACTGCCAAATTTCAACGGTTTTAATTTTGTATCAATATAACCTGGGTCAAGCAATTGTGCAGAGTTTCAAGAATCAATATGTCTGTAAAGACAAAATTATTAAGTCAACATCTGAACAGTTGAAGCTACCGCTTGAACACTTAAAATATATTACCTTTCAAAAAATGATCCATAAGAAAGAACAATCCAAAGTCACAATTACCTAAAATGATTTCCAATGTTAAGAACATAGTTCCATAGAAGCAACCAGATGATATATTAAATTCAAATTTCTGCAAAACTTAAAAGTTTGCCTAGGCAATCGAGATTGTTTACCAAAAGCGGACTATTGAAAGATTAAGGATTATTTGCTGGAAGTCAACATTTCAATGTACCCAAACCTTCTTAGAATTTCTGAACAAAAACCAGCATAGAATGTTAGATAATTTTCTTATGGAAATAAGATGTGTCGAAAATCTTTCAATATATTATTTTCTGCACTATTTGCCAACATTGAAACAAAGTTATGCACGTATAAAAAAATATTCCTGAAGTAACAATGAATTCTGCATCCAATTTCATTTCATACAAAGTATTTTTCATTGATGGAACATTAAATATTTACAAAACATAATACTTATTTTGTAATAAATTTCATCTTTTATTCATAATACAAGCAATATTGCTGTTGGAAGCGATAGATATATGAAGCAAGAATTGTTTATATGCTTGATCAGATGTTACGTTTCTTTATGCACAAATAAAAGGTGATAAGTCAGTATGCAAAACTTATTAATGCTTACTCTATTTATGAAATTGAAGATACATCATATTTTACTTTATTCTACTCTGCATGCTTGAAATATTAAAGGTATGAGATATTGCCTTGAACTTATTTGCAATAATGAAATAAAATCGAAGATGCTTGTCCCAATTCTATTTATAAGCTTTGCTATCAATTCCCAAAACCTTAAGAACGTTAATTAATGCAAAACCGACTCAAAGCCTTGAGCATAGATATTAATATGCAAGTTTCAGGTATTTATTAAATGCTTTTGTCTCTTTTGTACAAAATTTAGGTCATAGATATAAAATAACATGCAAATCACATACTTTCTGGTGAACAAAGTATAAATAACTAAGCATAAATGACCTCATGAGTGTTGCTATAGAATTTCGAGGTACTAATATTGCAGGATCTCGATGAGAAGAGATTAATTAGCGAATGTTTCACCAAAAGGAATGACGACGCTCTTAAACTTGCTATTTTGGAATGTTGTTTGGAATTGAACATTTCCTGTTACTTCAAATAAAGCGTTCTGTTGACTGCCATCTGCAATAGACTTCTTCAGGCAATCGTCACAGACAACTTCATTGGAAGATAGAAATGGAATTTTGGAATTAACAGTTCCGAATGAGGAGTTGAGCCAAATTTGCTGAGCACCAAGTGCATTAACGTATTCAAAAACGATTGACAATTTATCACACCATAAACCAACAGACACAGCAGATTTAGATAGTCCAATTGCTTCCTTTGTGGTTCTGAAAATTTCCATCGATATGGTTGAAGACTTTTCATCGTTAATCATGCTACGTGTACATTTGACAATTCTATTTCCAATCACTTCAAATCCATTTCCAGACAACTTGGTGATTTCATCGTTTGCTGGATACGTTTTGACCTTTTTAACAAGCAAATCTGTAAAGTTCTTACTGAGTGATTCTTGGATCAAAACAGTATTGAGTATTTTAGTATCTTCTGAATCTAGTAATGCTGCAATAAAGTCAGAAGCGGTTTCCAAATCAGCTGACTCAGTGACAATGACTGACGCGCACAGACCTTGAAGATTTATCTTAAATAAACAATTTAATTGTTGTAAAATACAATAATCACAAAATTATGTTTAATTTACCTTCAATTTATTCTTCAAATCATAATTCATGCTGTCAAAAGCGTCCTCGAACTTCTTAAGATCCATTAATAGTAAAACAACAGCTGTAAAGCAGATAAATAATTAATTTAAGGTCTTAGCAGGTCTTAGTATGTTTTATATTTAGAAGTCGGTTAAAATAAGACAACTTCAATTCAAATATTAAAAAACCGTTGCATCAAGTAATCGAATAATAACAGGGAAAACACTTTAAAAAGCTTGTGTGAATTTATTATTTCTGATAACAACAAATGCCTTGTTTAATGTATGAGAAGACCGTTTTAATAAACATCACAGCTTAATATTATATTAGCGTTTTCTACTTAACTTTTAAAAGCGTTTTAAACATAAATTTTTCATCTAGTTTTTGCCTACTTGTTCATAATAACAAAAAAAAAGTGATGCAAACATCAGATAATATTATAAAATTAAATTAAGGCATAACTTGATAGGCTATCGTACTAAAAATAGTTTAAACGTCTTCATTAATAACTTTAATGCTGATATAAGTTCAAAAACAGACACATCATCATGTATTTTACATCTGCTTTGGTTTCGAGAAGTTTAATTAAAAATGCAGGAATTATTTTCTCAAAACAACCCGTACCAAAGAATTTATACGCAACACGACTCTTTGGAACATCTCTACAGAAGCAAGCTGAAGCATTTATACCAAAACAAAGAGTAAGTCAGTGAGATTTTGATTAACACTTTTAAATTTAACAATAATTACTTCCCAGATTAAGTCATTACTTCCAACAAACAATTCATTCCGTCAAGCAGTTACACGATTTTGTTCAAAAGCAGCGGAACCAGCAAAAGGACAAAAAGCAGTAGGATGGTGGCTTGTAGGATGTTCAGGAATGGTTTTTGTCGCTGTAGTTTTAGGTGGGACAATTATTTATGGTTTATTAATGCTATGCGTAATGATTGTGCTGGATAAAGTCATACCAAGAACTATCCGCTAATGATCTCTTAGAAATTAATAAAATATTTGATATTAAGTAAGTTTAATCAGTTCCTTTTATCAATTTTCAATTTCAGGTGGTGTTACTAGGTAAACTGGATGTTTATTGGCTGTTTTGGACGTATTTAATTTTCATAATATCTCTTGTAGACTCACTGAATCTGGATTATCAATGTCTCATTGGAAGTTACTTGGAGAAAAGCCACCAACAACTAAGGAAGATTGGATCCGTGAATTTGAATATTATAAGCAATTTCCAGAATTCAAACTGTAAGTCTAAATTAATCTGACCTTGATAGCACTAAGCAGTGACAATTTAAGGCATACAATTTATAATCTTATCACTTGTTGTTTAGCAAAAATGCCGAGATGACATTGGAAGAGTTCAAGTTCATTTTTTGGATGGAATATGGACATAGAATGTGGGGTCGTTGCATTGGTGCATTTTATGCCATTCCAGCTGCCTACTTTTGGTCTCGAGGATATTTTAATAAAAGCATGAAGATTAAAGTTGGAATATTTGGAACACTAATTGGTCTTCAAGGATTAATGGGATGGTACATGGTCAAGTCAGGCTTAGAGGATAGATTCCAAGATCCAAATGATGTTCCAAGAGTTTCACAATACCGTCTTGCTGCACATTTATCATTTGCATTGGGATTGTATATTTTGTTCTTGATGTCTGCTTTTGATCATTTGATGCCAACAAAGCAGCACGCTATTGAAATTACACAAAAGGCACTAAAGCTAAGAAAATATGCACATATATCTAAGGGAATGATTTTCCTTACTGCCATTTCTGGTGCTTTTGTGGCTGGCCTTGATGCTGGTTTAGTCTATAATTCGTTCCCAATGTTTGCTGACCGATGGATTCCAAGTGATTTATGGGCAATTTCACCAGCAATTAAAAATGTCACAGAAAATCCAACAACTGTTCAATTTAACCATCGCATTTTAGGTACCTCAACTTTAGCTCTCATTTCTGGAATGTGGATGTTGTCTCGTAAATGTAAACTACCTCCGCGTGCTCATACAGCCGCAACTGCTGTCGTCATAATGGGATGGATGCAAGTTGTTTTAGGAATTTCAACTCTCCTTACATATGTACCAACGCATTTAGCAGCTAGTCATCAGTCTGGATCCCTAATTTTGCTTAGTATGGCTGTCTGGTTAACTCATGAACTCAAATATTTGAAGAAACTACCAAAATAATGAATGAACAAGATTGCATTTTTGTATAGTGTGTAAAAAATAATGAAAGTGGAACAAGCATGAAAATAAAACAAGTTCAAATGAATTTTCTAATTCAAGCACGATTCAAGATTTCTAAAAGGTAAGAAAATGTCAGACAGAATTAGTTTTAATAAAAAAGAATGAAAAAAGTTTGCAAAAAAGATCCTAGCAGAGCGTAGTTTCGATCTACGGACCTCTGGGTTATGGGCCCAGCACGCTTCCACTGCGCCACTCTGCTTTACTCGGATGTTTTAACATTCTGCATAATGTCGATTACTTCTTTAAATCAACCCTGGTTACATGCCAATTTTTCATAATTACAACTTTTGATCATTGCAAATTAATTAGCTTAATTAAATGTTAAAGTATAATTTCAAAACCTTCAAGATGTCATTAACAACTTTCATTCATAATTTTATGAAATTAAAATTCCCATATGAGCCTCACGCACACAACGATAGACATGTGTAGAGTCCAAATGAAAAGTAAACAGTACTTCGGTGAAAGGTGCTATTCACAACTTCTAAATACGACCAATTCATAAATGCAATCATAAGCTGTTAGAAGTTTTCATTAGTACACCGTTATAATATATATTCGACAATATCAACAAATAAAGTTTTAGAAATAAATTTAATTTTGATAATTTATACTGTAAAAATCGTAAAAATTGCCATCGCATAGTCTTAATTTATACTCGAATTATTGGAATAAGTAAAGAAAATTAAAAAGTAACTTCAAAAATTAGGTTTAAAACGACATTATAGAAATTCCTAAGAATCGCCGTAAATATTCAACTTTATGTATATTTTGAACGTTAAAAAGAGTAAATATACTTTGACTGAAATTCTTGTTGTCCAATTTAACTTATAACGTTCTATTATTTTAGTCAGAAAGAAAAAGAGGAGAAATTTTAATGACTAATTTGAACGCTAATTAAAATTCAATAAAAAAATTAAAAATGGATACCAATTTGGACCAAGATGATGGGTCAAGTAGTGATTTGGATATCAGTAATGACATCAATGGATGTTTGAAATCACTCGATGCAGATATTGATGGTCCAAAGAATATTAATAATGATAACGAGGGCTCGGGAAGTGATAATTCAAGTAGTTCCAGCAGTTCGTCGTCTTCTAGTGAATCTTCATCAACATCCACATCGAAAAGCTCAAAAACATCTTCATCTCATAAAAAGTCTAAAGAAAAGCCAATAGAACCAAAATTTACTGCAGCTCCTTTATCAAGTGTTGTAATAACAGATAGAGTCCTTTATCCAGCAAGATTTCACAAAAAGCCTCCAATTATTATCGAAAATAGACAACAAAAGCCATTACCACATCGGTCGCGCTCTAGATCAAGAGGACCACGTTCAATGAGAGAATCTGGATATCGAACTGATGGTTCAATAGTGTCAGATAACATGAAACGACGTAAATCGAGAGCTCCATCGGCTCCACGTTCATCAGTCACTCCAGTTGACATAGATTTAGATTTAAATGTTCTTCAGTTAAGTACAGAGCCATCAACATCAGTTAAACTGACAAAAAAGAATGTCAGCTTAATGGCGCGAAAAAATGATACTAATAATAACAATAACAATAATGGAAATACAATATCGAATAGCAAAATAAGACCGATGGCAATAAATTTAGAACTGAATCGTCGTTTACTTGAGCATAAAATGAATTTAAATGGAAGAAGTACTCCGTTTTCATCGGCATCATGTAAATTAGGATTTGGTTTAAAATCAAGCCAATCATTTCAAGAGTTAACTGCAACATCTAAAATAATGACATCTCCATGGTCAGACGAAAAGAATTCATTTAAACCTGTAAAATATGCAAAGTCGTTATCTAAAATTGTTATGAAATCCCGAAGACCATCTGTTGCAAGTCGAGCAGGATCTGTGAGAAGTGCAACATCAACAATTTCACGAATGCGTCGTGCACCGACACCAGCATCGATTAAAAATAATGAGTATGTAAATGCACAGGTTTTGGAAATAACATCTGCACTTGCTAAATGTAACATTAGTTCATCGAAACCATCTAAAACTTCAAAAACATTAAAGACACATAAGAATATTCAAAATAATGTAATGAAAAAGAAGAAGACTCCAAACAAGAGAAGAAGTAAGAAAATGGATGATAATTACAATGATACAGTGCCTGTTGCAGAAGATCACAAATTGCCATTAAAAAAGCGCCACTACTTAATTGCAGAAGAAAAGTCAGCTAATGTGAAGAGAAAACGCTCAAAGAAGTCTGCACCACCGGGAATTTTTGAACCGACTGAGCAGAATGATGATGATGATGCTTCACTAGACGTATATAACATAATCGATAATACTGTCTTAGATGTTAAACCGCCTTCTAAATCTGTAGTTGATAACATTCTTACAAAAATGGAACCGACTGTAAATAAACGAAAAAGACGACGTGCCAATCGAACTGGATTCCCAACACCAAAACGTCCCAAAAAGAAGGTCATTAATGATAATGCAAGTGATACATCGAGTGTTGTAAAAAGAAGGAAAAGAAAAAGAAATTTATCGGCGGACGAAGAAGTACGTATGTTAACGGCCCGTCAATTACAGTTGAAACAGCAAAAGGAAATAGAATTAAATAATCAGAAACATGAAACGAGAAATATTCGTAGCAGAGCTAAGTCCGTATGTCACATTCCTGAACCTGCACTTGAAGAGCAATTACCGGTTGTTAAACGAAAAAGGAGGCAAACTATATTCGTAGATCTTAATGACGACTCTAAACAAGTACAACACTTAGAAATATTACCTATAGCTGCAAATGATATAAAGTCACTAAAACATAAGAAAGAAAATAAACCGTTAAATGATTCAAAAGCTTTAAAAGAATTAAAATCGACAATAGCAACGACAAAAGAAAATCTGATAAAATCACATGCAGTCGAGAAAGAAAAAGAAAAGGAGAATGAGAAAGAGACGAAAAAAACTGAAAAGGATGCTAAAACTGAAGTACCTATCAAAAAAAAACGAAGGCAAACGATACATCTAGATGTTCATCCATCGCCTACGCCTAGTAATTCATCCAGTAAAAAAGTCCGGAACGAAACTAAAAAGTCATCAGATTCTTCAAAATCCGAGTCATACGTAAAGCTTATACCAAAAAATGTCTATAATGGTGACACACAAAAGAGAGCCTTTATTCCAAGTCTGAAAGGAACCAAATGTCGTTGCTCTCCTAATCCATGTGGAGAATCGTGCCTAAATCGTTCAACGTTTATCGAATGCGATCTATCAATATGTGGCAAAAATTGTACAAATACCGTAATACAGACTGGAGGTCTTTTAGATAAGAGCGTTGAGAAATTTCAAACTCAACAAAAAGGCTATGGAGTTCGAACGAAAAAGGATATTTCTAAGAAAACTCTTATTTTAGAATATACCGGAGAAGTCTTGTTTAAGGAATCATTCAGACAGAGAATGCAGACAGTTTATAAGAATGACCAACATCATTATTGCTTAGAATTAAACAATGGTTTAGTATTAGATGGTCATCGAATGGGCTCCTTGTGCAGGTTCGTTAATCACTCATGCAAACCAAATTGTGGAATGGCAAAGATTTATGTCGAAGGTCTTCCGCGAATGATTTTGCAAGCAGAAGATGATATATCAGCTGGAGCAGAGCTTACTTATGATTATAAATTTGATAATTTTGAAGATATGACACCACAGCAATGTTTTTGTGGTGCAGAAACTTGTAGAGGAACTCTCAGTGCCAATGCTAAAGCCCCAAGACGGCTTAGTATGACTTATAAGGTAATTTTTTATTATATTGTCGTATGTCATCAAATTCCTAATTCATTGAGGACTTTTTAGGAAGGAGAAAGTGTTCGAAGGGTTGGAAGAAAAGGTAAAACCTACTCATCTAGTCCAAAAGCCAATTCTTGTTTCTTGATGCGAAATCTAAGAAGAATAGAGAAGCATCATCCAGAACTTATGAATTATTATCAGAATATGAAGAATCAGAATCGTGTTGAAGACGATCCAAAAGTGGGTTTTGCATTTGTGTCGAAAACTCTTGAAAACTCACCACCGCCAATTGATACTGTAAGCTCTAAAATTGACGAAGATATGCCTGCAAAAGAAATCAAAGAAAAAACTCCCGAACCACCTGTTGTCGTCAATCGACCTCTTTCCGAGCAATCTCAAATCTTATGGCAAATTTGTGAAAAACTTGATTTAAACCATACAGATCAACTGAAAGATATAGCGATTCCATCTGCACCTTCATCTGGACACTCAAATCATGACCGGATATCACTTCCTGTCTCATTTGATGACGTTAAAACAAATGTAAAAATGGGTCATTATGATCTAAATCCACTTCTATTTCATTATCATGTAAAAATTATGCTGGATAACGTTGTAAAATTCTGGGGAGTAAACTGTCAACAATTTCATACAATGATTGAAATTCGCGATGGATATAAAACCATTCGATCTGAAATGATTGAAGAAATCCGAAGGATATGGGAGGATGAGTTTCTTGTCAATGCTATGATGGATAAAATTGTCAAAAAGCCAGCAAAGAACCGAAAAAAGGTTGTTGAAAGGAACGATGACGAGGATATTGTCAATTGCCATTGTGGTAGATTTTTAGAGGAAGGTATTATGATTCAATGTCAGAAATGCCTAACATGGCAACATGTTGACTGTGCTGGTACAGATGGAAAAGCGGAAAATTATTCATGCATCAAATGCGAGCCAAGATCCGTTGAGATGGAAATTATTAAAAAGGGTGAAACAACAGCAGATAACCATCAATGTTACTTAACATTGATGAGAGGAAATTTACAGGTACATTAATTAATTATATTAGCCCCTGAAGTCTTTGATGAACTTTTACATGTTCTATTTTTAAAGATTCGAGTTGGAGATGCTGTATATGTTTTAAGAGATATTCCAATAGATTCTACAAAAGTTGGTGGACCGCGACATACGTACGAAACAATAGGAAACGTTAATTATGCTGAATGCGATATCGTTCGAGTAGAAACGCTTTATAAAGATTCAAATGGAGAGCCACGAGTGCTGGGTCATCATTATTTAAGGCCAAATGAAGTATATCATGAACCATCTAGAAAGTTTTACACTAATGAGCTCATGCGAACATCAATTTTTGAGTCAATTCCAATTAATCTTGTAATTGATACATGTTGGGTTCTGGATCCAAATACATATTTCAAAGGACGGCCAATAAATAGCATTGAGCATCATGTCTACATTTGTGAATATAAAGTAGATAAGCTAGCGCGAGTATTTAGTGTAATTAAGAAGAGCGGTCGACAGCCAATCAGCATAAAGCCTTATGCATTTTATAAATTTGAGGAGTTGCTGCGCCAGAGGAGGAATCACTTGGTAAGCTTTTGGCTCATCATAGATTTTAATCATAATTTTCATATGTCATCTGCTTCTTACAGCCTCACGATATTGATCATGTTATACCAAAGAAAGTTAAGAAGGAAATGCAGCAGCTAGCTAAAAATCAGAAAGTGATCAGTGAAATTGTTAGTATCCCACTCATATCTTTGCCAAAAGACCTCATAAATCATCGTCCAGCACCAAAAAAGATGTTTTCTAGAAAACAAAAAACTGACAATCTTGAATCCTGTATAAAGAAAATTAAGAGCTGCAGCAAGGAAGCTGCAAAAAACTCTAAAGACTCACAAAAAATTAATTCAAAGCACAATAATGAGATTACGGAAGTATTTGATAAAAATGCAAAACAGTTGAAGAAGCGCGGCAGAAGAGGCAAACAGAAAATTAATTCTTAGCAATAATGCCATAGTTGGTTAAGAGATTGATTATAATTTTAACTATTTTCAATTTTTCCATTTTCTATCCTTTCTCTTTCTTTTCTTCTTAGTTTATAAATTGAGAATGTACAAGGAAAATTAAAAAATAAATTAATTTTTTCATCTTAATTCTAGTCTCTTAAGTTTTTCATGTACAATTTGTAAATTTCCAGCTATTATTTGACTATCCTTATACAAAAGCTAATTTTCAGTCAAAAGTGGTGTTTTAGTGACGAATCGTATATTTTTTATAAACCATTCAGGTACCCTTTATCATCAAATGAACAAAAGTGGTGTACTGTTAACGATTCTCAAATGAGACATTTATTCCCTTGTGTTACCATTAAATGTTACAATAGTGGTGAAGAGATTGGATAAATGATTGCAATACAATTCATCTTTTAGTTGTTGCTATATGTTTATGTACTTGATTAGGCTGGTTAACCGAAGTTAACCATTTGAAAAAATTGGTCTTAGACTCATTAGAGTTTCTTCATCACACGGTAATCTTTAGTAAAAGGCGAAAGATTAATTCGATAATTGTGATGAAGACAGAGTGATTTGATATGTATTTAGACTCAGCTCTTATATTAGTGATTTCTGCTAGCTCTTGTGAAGCATATGAGCGAAAATGGAATTTGGTCCATTTTCAAGCTCGTTTTTTTTTGATGAAATTTTTTTATGTCTGAAAATTTTCTCAAATAAATAGTCAATGCTAATTTAGTTTATGGACATGCTTTATTCATAACAACTTTTAAGGATATCCAATTCAGTGTCAGAATCTGAAGAATTATCTAATTTTGATAATTTTCGAAGGGCTGTTTTGGATGTGCTTGGTTGTATAATTGATGTCAGGCTGCTTATATCATCTTCAGATTTTCTAGAACTGGGCAAAGTGTTGGTTTTGAGGTAGTCTCGACAGACTTGAAGCATTTCCCTTCGAGTTTTCTTGGATGTTTCGGCTTCTTTGAATTTATCAAGTGCTTTTTGGACATCCGCAAATTCGTTGAATATTTCTGATACTTTAACGACTTCTGGAATTGAATGTTCAAATGGCTGAATTGACTGCTTTCGAAGCTCATCTAGTTTCTTTAATTCCTCCACGTCTATCTGGTTCATATTTTTAACGTCATCGTCCAGTTCATTCCAAAACATTGTCGTGGAAGAAATGTCATATACGTTCGACTGCTGATTTTCTCCATAATCCAGTGCCAATGTGATACTCTTCATTGTGAATCTGAAGAAGTTTTCTGTATATAAATGACAAAACATAATACAGACATCCTGATATTCTTCAAGCTGCTTAACGTTATTAAAGAACTTAAGAAATTGTTCCCATTCATCCTTAACTACTCTTAATTTTAGATTTGTTGCCACATCGTCAGTGAAATATATTTTGCTGATTAGGAATATTAATGCTGATCTCCTTAAATTTGACTTTTCTTCGAGAAATCTGCAAGAATTAATTTAATTCATTTAATAGTCACAATTGGGTGTTAATTCACTTACTTTTTCTTCAGAGCTATTAAAGTGTTGTCAGCAAACTTAATTATGATGTATGACTTGTTCCTGAATATCCGGTTCCTGAAATGTTGATGCATTGATATTAAATTGCTGGATTATAGTTGAATTAACAATTATTTACTTACTTGTACAAAAAAATATGCATAAATCCTAATTTATTGAGAACATAGTTGAAATACTTGCAATTCGGCCTTCCAAATTCATCAATGTATGATAAGAAGTTCACTATATCCAGCATAACATTTGCTATCAGTCCTTTCATACAGAAATCCATGTTAATTAATGTTTTATTCTAGTGTTTACAAACAGCGATTAAAATTTAAAAACACTCTATGTTAATAGTCACTATTTGACTGTCTGTCAAGAATTTGAATTTTTTAAAACCGTTACTTCCAATACTTCCAAGATTTCAATTTAAATTCCCAAAATCAGTTAAATTTTCAAATATTCTAAAACTGTTGAAAAACGACTGAAAATAAAACCAATCCTGAAAAGAATAGAAGCACAAAGAAAACACGACTGACATTCAAATTAGGAACAGCTCTTTAATTAGTTTGTTTTTGTTCAATTCCAAAAAATCTACAAATCTCTTGTTATTTATAAAATTGACAAATTGAAAATCTATATAATTAAATTAACAATTCATAATGTATCTTTATCATTGTTTCACGTCACAATTAGGTATGTGCTATGAAATAATGTAATTATTATTATTATTTCTAGTGATTTTTGTTCTGTATTGTCCCCAATCATAATTCATTCCTTGTTCAATGATGGACATAATTAAATTGAACACTACATCCTTTTTTTTTATTAATCCTGAGCTTGTGATAAAAATCTTTAACTAGGTATGTTTATTAAAAAGCATGTACAGTATATATGTGTTTAAAAAAGTTTTATTACTGTTGTTTGTTTTGTAATATTTTTGAATATCATGATTGCTAACAATGCAATATAGTTTAATTAACATATATATCAATAGTAATATATATGTGTAGGTATATATTTTGTGGGAAAAAAAACTGTGATACAAAACACTTGATGGTGCTTGTTTGCTTTGGAAATGGCACGAAACTAAGAAAAGGAAATTAGGAATATTATAATTATTGTATAGCTTCTTTCTGACATGTTTTTTAATCAACACAAAAGTTGTGAAAGTTTAAGTTGTGGTAAAAAATTCTGATATATCCAATGAAATGTGTTTTCAAGTGATTGTCAATGATTTTCAATGTATGATAAGAGATTTTGTTTAAAGCAATATTTTGAACGCATTCAATTTCAATTTAGAACTAATTTATAACGGCTTTTTTTAATTCCAAAAAAAGTTCATGTCATTCCAGTTCAAGGGGAATGTAACTTGGCAAAAAATTGTTTTCATTTCTAGTGGAAATCTAATGAAAATTTCTAGTTAAATTTAGAATATTAATGATTTTTACTTTTATTCTTCTCAAATATCATTTTTAAAGCTAATGTTTTTAATTTTTCTTGTCAAGTGACAATCCCCTCATTTTAAATTTTACGAATCCGTTATTTTTCAAAAATAATTTGTCCGTTATTTTTACTGATCCAGCAGAACGCGTTTAACTAATCAATTCCAATTAATTTCTCATCATTTTCAAAGTTCTAATTATTAAACATAAAAATTTAATATTCATATAACTTAAATACAAAAAAAAAGGGTTTGATCCTCATTAAAAATTAAAATTTTGATGAAATAATATCCGATTTATTCGGAATAGGCGTAAAAACTTAAATAATATCGCATTAAGTCCTAAAATATAAATTTTATGGCGGTAATTTTTTTTATTCTAATTTCCACGTGATATGTTATTAGTCTGAATTTTCTTCTTTGCATTAATATTGCTTAAGAAATCATGAGTCTAGAATCAAAAATTTAAATGAAGTGATGCACAATCACAAAAAATATAATCATTTGACAAAAGGTTGCAATGACGAAAAAAATAACTATAATTAAAGAATATAAGGTATTGCTCGAAATGTTCATCATGAGGAACATATTATAATTTGGATAAGGTATGCTGATTTTTAAGGATATTTTATTTTCAATTTCTCGTTTACTGGATGTTAATTAAGATCCACACAAGTAATAAAAGGCATAATAGACCCCTTAAACTCCGTTGCCTTCATGTCCATTTTAAAACATGTTCTCAATAAGTTTTTCAACACTGCCCTTAAAATCGAATTATCTGACTGACATTATTTATGAATGACACCCAAATTCCCCCCTAATCGCATGCTCGTCCTCCAGAAATCAGCACACCATCCCCAAAGTCGTCGAATATTTTAAACTATTCACAAATAATTTTATTCTCTCACATAACATTTTTTTAACCGTTTCCGTTCAAATCATTTAGTCAGACTCAACAGAGTGCACGATAAGGTTTCATTATTATATCACTTTAACATTCAATCATTATACCTTGAATGCTATTATTCCTACAAAATATTTTCTTATTTTTTTCATTTTTGTTTTCTTTTCTTTAAAACATAATAATTTAATAATATAATTAAATTAGAAATCTTTTAATCATCATGAATGTCTGATGATGCAATAACTTTCCAAAGATTTGATACAAATGATCTAGTTGATGATTGTACGGCTAGCTAGCATTCAGTTTCTCCGTATTGATGATTACTTGGACGATATATCCTTGCTGAATTTTTGCTTCTTCAATTGTCGTTTTATCGCCTAATAATTTACCTCCATAAAACCATCGCTGACAGAACACGTCTACATTCTCCTGTGCCTGTAAGTAATTATTGTCATTAGTTCTTTTTATTTCATGGCTATTAATGTATTAATTGTAGACTAGATGAGGATATTCGGGACATATTAGGTACTTCATAGAGCTGTGCAAGCGACAGATTCAACACCAACCGTTTTACCAAGAAGGCAATAGATCTGTAAATTCTATAACGTGACCATAAATTCCATATTTATAAACGACAGCATACAAATCATTGGAACTAAAATATCTTGTTTATGTATTTGATTAGAAGGCCAAATCCCGAAAGAAATAGCCACAAAAAAAATTGTTTATAGACTCATTAGAGTTTCTTCATCACACGGTAATCTTTAGTAAAAGGCGAAAGATTAATTCGATAATTGTGATGAAGACAGAGTAATTTCCTCATACTTCTATTCCATCCCTTATATTCCTCATTTCTGCTAGCTCTTGTGAAGTATATTGACTAAAATTAAATTTGGTCCATTTTCAAGTTCATTCTTCTTTTTTGATGACTGAAAATTTTCTCTCAAAAAAAGCCTAGCCAACAAATCAGGTACGAAAAAAAGTTGGCAAAAAAGATTCTAGCAGAGCGTAGTTTCGATCTACGGACCTCTGGGTTATGGGCCCAGCACGCTTCCACTGCGCCACTCTGCTGCTAAATCTCAGTTATGACGCTTTTGCTAAATTGAATCCTGCACATTTAGTGGTGGCTAGTCTTAAGAAATATAGTAGATTGTGTGCTGTAAACTAGATGTTTTGAGTATACATAAAATTTGCTACCTGACGCATCTTTTTAGCTTCAAAACTATAAAATGTTTGATGTATTACGTGCTCAAACATATCCAGCATATAATTAATGTCTCACAGATTTCATAATTTCAGATTCAACAAGATTAGTAAAGCCAGAAAAAATAACTTTGATTAAAAGAAAATTTAACGAGCTAATAAGCTGGACGTTAATCAATTTCGCAACTTAGAAAACAAATGATAATGTAAACATTCGGCAAGTGCTCACCAAATCATGACTGCATAAAGTTTTGTTTATTAGAAAAACCACAGACACCAGAATTTTATCATTAGAGGCAATTAAGCCACACAAAAACAGCTAAAACCTTTTATCAGTTGCGTAGTCTTTTGTCTTGTTTTCATTGTTATTAATATTTGGAGCATTTGCTTTGTCGACAGAACGCATTAAAGAAGTGAATTTTTTTAACTACAATCAGGGGCGTAGCCAGGGGGGGGGGCGTAGGGGGACCGGGCCCCCCCTACGAAAATCTGATAATTGTTTTATTAAGTATTTATAGAGAAGAACCAGTTAATGTAGAGGAAGTGATGAAAGAAATGTCATGAAATATGAATAATGAATTAAATATTTAAACTTATGAAGAATGAATATAGATTTAAGGATACAAAATAACGGCTTTTTAATTTTCAAAAATGGGCCCCCCCTTCAAAAATTTTCTGGCTACGCCCCTGGCTACAATCTTAGGGGCCGTTCACTTATTACGTTCGCATTTTAGGGGGGAGGGGGGCTTGAAAAATTGTAACAAAATGTAACATAGGGGGGGGGGGGGGGGGTGTCAAGAATTATGTAACGTTCTAACTGTTGTCTGTCTTTTAAAAAAATTTGTTTACAAATTCACACCAAAAACATTTTTTTAAATTTTCCACCTTTTTAATGATAAAATGAATTATGAACGTTCCGGGGGGGGGGGGGTGTGTGTTGAGTTGTAACATATTGTAACAAGGGGGGGAGGAGGGTGAAAATAGTTGTTTTTTTGCGTGACGTAATAAGTGAACAGCCCCTTAATAATCTAGTCAAAATATCAACAAAAAAACCGTTTAAATTCAAATGTCAAAAAACCGATGAATTCAAAAAAGAATGGTACATTCAAATTTTTGAAAACCGTTTAAATTTGAATCTTTAAAATTCGTTACATTTGTTGCAAGCCGTCGTAAATTATCAAAGTTTTTACAATCTTAAACTATATTTTCATGGTTAAAACGCGATCATAAAAAATCCATAACTATCGCAACAAAAATCCAACACATGACCTACCAAGCAAAACTGCTCATAATGCCATAGTTCAATAATCATAGATCACGTGTAATGAGTGACACTTTCTAATTTAAATGAAAGCTTTATAAAATTGAATTTTTCATTACAATTTGAAGGTCTGAATGCTTGCTCACAAGAAATAAGTACATAGTGAGCCAAACATTATCAATTATTCAAAATCCAACGATGGACAGTTTTGTGCATAAATTTGATGTAAGAGATAAGGCATAATCAATAAGTTGATTTGTCACCCTCCTCGATATACACAACAGGACATTACAAACACTTTTTCGTCTCATTCCTATAATTTTCGTCCAGTAAAAGATTAAAGGAAGTATTGTGAGGAATTTTTAATGATAAATAATTAATGAAGCATGTACGATAAATCACACCAACATACATCATGTAATTTTTACTTACTGATAATATTACCGTCTTGAAGCTCACAAATTAATTTGAAAGTTTATGCAGCAACAACAATGGAATTGCTCACAACACATTGTACAACATGCTTATGTGATGGATAAATTATGATTACAATTTATCGATATTTTTTTAATTTTATTTATAGCCAAATGTAGAAAGAGAGGGAAAATCATTGTTGGTGGCAAACTTTAGAGTAAGTACGAACGTCATGATAACACGATAATTGCATCCATTACTGAATGAACTACAAAACTAATTTCACACATGCACAAACACATGTGTATGTAAAGTTCATTAGTGACCCACACTGAAAATCAATATATCCTTCATTCATGTGACATTTATGGAATTGTTATTATTACTTTTTGAATCTTATTGTTCCAATAATACAATGTTATGTCTAACGTCCAGTGTTTGAGGTAAAAGAAGATTGAGAATTTTTAATGAATCTGTTATGCGTACTTTTATGTATTATTATGTCTAGAATGCGTCAATCTAGTTCTTATTATTTTGAAACTAATACATTTTGAGATACTCTTTACCCGTTCTTTGTTGGAACTAGCTACAGATTGCATGAAGATTTTTTACCGTTATTTTTAAATTTGAATTTTTGATAGTTAATTTTTAAACTTGTTCTGACAGTTAATTTTTGAATCGTGTCTTGGAACTTGTAAAGTACACAGCACAAATATTTACATAACGTACAGTGTATCTAGTCCATAAATAAATAAACAAAGCGTTAATTGCTCACCTGAAGTTTCTTTTTACATGCAAATATTGAATCCTTTGAGTAAACTGACAGCTTGACATCAGTTAATGTAGATGAGAGCCTTAATTTTAATTGAACTTCATTTCCTACAAAAAGAAACATTAAAGAAGAAGGGAATAGAAATGAATAAATTGTAATAGGTGATGGAAATTTTAAAAATACATGAAGAAGCTCAATTAGGAAATTGCATGACTTAATTTTCTTCCGTTTTACATTTTTTCCCAAATATCCGGAAATGATGAGCAATAGAAGTGTAGCATTGTGTGTGTATGCATACAATTTTCTTCATGAGCAGCAATTCTTGTTCATGTATAATTCATACACAACTTACCACCATCAACAGGTTCAGAATATTCAGCAGGTGATTCAGAGTCATGATCTTCTTTAACAATATTAACAGGATGACTGAGGCAATAAATTGGTATCTTATAATGTGCTCCTAATTCGTCATAAACTTCTGTCAAATATCCATTAGCTAAGAATATGTTAGCACCGTCTAAAATTGCTTGCGCTAATTGAAAGTCTAATGATTCAGCAGCGTGTGTAGCTGCTCGTAAAGCATCCCAAATCTCTTTTCGTCCCTCAAAAGCTGGTGCTGTTTCCCAAAACTCGTCTCGTTTACTCCTTAATTGGCCTTCAGTCAACGGCACATCCGATTTCCAGCGTATTGTCTCATGAAATAGTGGATGATTTTTCCTTTGTGAGCCAATATTTGTACTGCTTGCTGGACCTTAAAGAAAATTTATAGCTTACATTTATTTTTTTGTCACTTGTTCAAGCCACTTGTTACTTATTATGACGGTATGGAATTTGTTGGATGAATTTAAGCTGATTTGACATAAATCACGTGTAAATGCAGTACAGTATGTATTGTACACGAAATAGTTTATATGAAAAATCTATAAACATTAACATTTCATTTCTTATATATACACAATATATATTAATATGGATTGGAATGACTACAATCTCGTCAAATACTTGAGGCTAAGTGATAAACAAATTTCATTACACGATGATGATTAAATGCAAAAATAAGGTCTAAGAGAATTTAAGTTGCGTTTGCTTATCTTATCGCAGAAATTATTATTTAATTAATTTAAGTGTTAATAAATTCAACTTTACTAGCGTAATTATCGGATTTATAAGCCATAAGCAAGAGAAGAATCAGCATAAAAATTGTGTAATGTTATTTGCCAAACGAGAATATATGAGAAATAAGGCATAGAAAGATAGATTGATGAAAATCGTGAGAACGAAAGGAAAGGTTAATTATTATTATTGGTTTTTTCTTTCTTTTGCTTCTCTTACCTGATGTTGGTCTCGAATGTTGATCATTGATACTTATAGTTTCTTCATTTCTCGACCAGCATCCACCCATTTTTATTAGAATATTATTCAATTTCCTATTGACACAAACGTTCTTCTTATTATGCACACAATTTAATTCACTCTACTTAATAAAATAAACACTAAATAAGATCTTGTCAGTGTGCTCTAAATTTCTATCCTTTAAATCACATTTTAATTCACTTCCTCGACTTTTTTAAAAGCACATTTCATTCATATACAATTTTCTTTATCCTTAACTTCACTTTGTGGCTCTCTCTTTGCTTAATAATATTATATATAGCTTGCAACTGAATTAAAATTGAAATAAACTATTTTTTTGTGTCATCAAATCTTTTTTTTCACCGAACTAGTTCTACCTTCTTGATCTACTACAGAGTTGTATTCAATTTATGTTTAGGATTATAAATCTTGTCCAATTAGAGCTCTAATTCTGTGGATATTACTGACACTTGCACAACTCTGGATCTACTGAAAAAGTTCTACTTAGGGGACTGAACTATGAACTTTTTGATCTACCAAATTTTAACAACTTTTTCAGTGACAATGTTCAAGGTTTTACTTTTTTGTCTGAATGTCTGTATATTCTTATGACCTTTTCATTCTGACATTTAATTCCTTCTGAACAGTCACCTGCTTTAACTCAAATAGCTTAAAACTTAAATACTGAACCAGCCAAAAACTGAAAATGAAATATTTGATGATTGTTAAGTTTTTCAAATAATTCTTGACAGTTACTTTTTAAATATCTTTTGATCGTTATTTTTCAAATAATTTTTGATCGTTATTATTCAATCACCCTCAATTTTTGTAATTTTACATACCTACCTCTCAAATTCTGCGCTTCCGTCGGATACGAGTGACTACATCCATACGAGCTTAACTTGTTTATGCAATAGCTGTATTTTGTAAACATAAATTCATAGAAAATCGCTCAAAAATCATTTTTAAAGGTAATTTAATTAATATTCTATAGCCCATCAAGTTTCTACCATGTCACATTCCATTCCACAGATGATGTCGTTAAGATACATATTAAAGAATACTTTAAAATCACGATTTGTCAACTCGATCGCATTAACTAGAAATTATACGGATATGATCGATATGCCTGATAAATCACTTCCAGTTCCAAAATATCAGATGAAACAGAACGAGACAACAGATGTTAAACGTGCTAGATTACTATATCAGTCAAGGAAACGCGGAATGTTAGAGAATGGATTAATTTTAAGCACTTTTGCGTCTGAATACCTGAATAAGATGAGCGAAAATCAACTGGATCTTTATGATAATTTAATTAATCAAGTATCAAATGATTGGGATATATACTATTACGCAACAAATATTAAAGAGATACCAGCAGAGTATAACAATGAAATAATGGATATGCTAAAGAAACATGTCAAGAACGAAAGGAAGGAAGAAAGATTTAAACAGCCTGATCTTCAGTTTAATTAAATGAGGACAAAAAATTTATTAGTATTAATTAACATCTCTCAAACACTTTGTACAGTTCCTGTAAACTCGTCAATTTTAAAAATGTTTCATCATCTACAAACTTTTTTGGTGGCTGCAATTGTGCCTGGATTTTAGGAAAAATCACATGCTCCATCAAATAATCAAATTCCTTCTCATTTGATTCTTTCAAAGACCATTTCGAGTAGAACGTCGCTAATTCACTACAAATATTTTTAAAGCATTCTTTCTCATCATCATAATTTACATCAGCAGCTAGTCGAACAATAAACATCGGTAAATGGCCAAAGACTGGAGCATAGTCAGGAATTATTATTGGAAGTGATTCTAATCCTTTATCAGTTATTGTAATCGAGAAATATTCTTGTAGCATTTCCTTCCGTTCCAATAAAATTTTTGCAACTTGGTCTGATAAATTCTCTTTTGGACCATCTTCCTCATTCCATGAGCATTCATCTAAATTAAATCCAATCATTGCGAGTTCCTTAATATCTAGTGGATCTTCAAATTCAAAGACATCAAAATTCTCAAAATACTTTAATGACAGCTGATAAAATAGTTCCCATCCTAGTCGACAATTGTCGCATAAATAAAGGATATTCTCACATTGTATCAAGCTCTTTGATCGATTGACATTTCCAACAAACTTTAAATTTCTCAGTTGTTCCTTTAAATTGTCATTGCAGTTTGTCTCAACATCTGATATTAGTTCCTTTATAGACGACAATCTTGTTGATTCAATTTGTTTCTTTTGCATTTTTCGAGATTCTGGTGAGCTTTGAACTATTTGTGATACATTTTGACTTTCTGTGGATTGATTAAGGAACTTGATAATTGACTGTGATTTCGGATCAGTTCTGATCATGTCCTTGGCATAAATCTTGTCTTTTTCTTTAAAGGATGTTTCAAAAATAATATTTGCTGCTCCAGGAAGTAACTGTTGAGTGTACATCTTTCTTGTCTCATTAGTTTTAAGCAGCACTGCCTCAACTTCTTTCTTAATATTCTCAACAATTAAGTCTTCATTAAGGAAGGACACTTCATGTTTTGTTGGACTCACATTTACGTCTACATTTCTTGGATCAATTTCAATGCTCATATAAATGAATGGTTGGACTGTATTTGGCAGCACTGTTCGATATAAATCATCAAATATAGCTTTCTTTAAATTTTTTGATTCAACAAGTCTGTGATTAATGAATAAAAGGAACTGTCCTTTCTTGCCTGAATAATTAGCATTTGAGATGCATCCTTCCATTTTGAATTTTAAGTTTTCATCACCAGCTTGGACCTTAAGAAGAGAATTTGCTACTTCATTTCCATAAATAACTCTTACAATATCGATTGGAGATTCAGATATTTGTGTCTTAATGCTATTATTTTCGCCATGCTTCTTTAGTGTAAATGATATTTTATAGTTATGGACAGCATATTTGGCAATACAATCGAATATCTTGGCAAACTCATCGAATGATGATTTTAATGTCTTCTGTCTGATTGGAACGTTATAAAAGAGATCTTCAATTGTTATACTTGTTCCCTGATTTCCTGCACATGGCATTGGATTTCCTATCATGTTACCGTTATCATACTTTACTCTAATATAAACCATTAATTAATTAGACTAGATGCTCTAGTTATGGACATTATGTTACTCACTTGTAAGCTAAAATCTCGTCTCTCGTTTTGGTCTGAAGAGTCAACCGGCTGATCATGCTAATACTTGATAAAGCTTCACCTCTAAATCCTGCAAATAATCACTAGACTCAAGTCGAGATTCGAATTGACTCATCAACTTACCATAAGTTCCAATTTGCTGCAGGTCCTCATAATTCTTCAATTTACTTGTCGTGAACCGTTCACATAGAATAGGCAGGTTCTCTTTCAATATTCCACATCCATTGTCTAAAATTTGAATGCTCTTCAATCCACCCATTTTTAGTATAATCTGTATGTGTTTGGCTTTAGCATCTATGCTACAAAATAAATTAATTGATTGGATAAGCTTTTATGACTTTGTAAGTTCCACTCATGTATTTTGAATATTTTGCCGGCTTTTTAATATCTTACCAGTTTTCTACCAATTCCTTTACACAATTAACAGGTGCCTGAACAATTTCTCCAGCAGCAATACGATTAACAACACTCTCGTCTAGTTTAATTATTTTCTGAGGCTCTAAATCCATGATCATTTAATTTTAATCAACATCCAGTCATTGAAATTTTAAAACAGCGTAGTTTTTAAAGGGTTCAATGTTTACATTGCAAAAAAAAACATTTTTCACCTCAACATTTCAGTGATTTTTTTACATTTTACAAAATCCTTAATTAACAAAAATCTACAATGGTTTTCTATTTCACAAGTAATGTAACTTCACCGCCTGTTAAGCTATTTATGGGAATTGATAAGTACGAAAGTAAGTTACAATGAAAATTGTGTGAATTTTCATCTTTTCGAATTTTAACAAAACTATTTATTCTTTAGACGAGGATTTAATTAAATGGGGATTTCCTGAAGATGTCTGGTTCCATGTTGATAATGTCTCTTCCGCTCACGTATACTTAAGATTGCAAAAGAATCAAACTTTAGACGATATTCATCAAGATGTATTAATTGATGCGTGTCAATTAGTGTAAGTACTGGATGTTGTTCCTTAGTTCTAATTTATAATATAAATCAATTCTTTTAATTTAGTAAAGCAAACTCTATTAATGGCAACAAGATGAACAATATTGATATAGTATATACAATGTGGGATAATTTGAAGAAAACTCCGTCAATGGAAGTTGGACAAGTTTCATTCCATAATCCTAAGCTTGTAAGGAAAATGAGAGTAGAAAGACGTATTAATGAAGTCGTTAACCGACTGAACAAGACAAAAATTGAGGAACATCCAAACTTTCAGCAGCAGCGTGAAGAAAGAGATGGACTTGAAAGGCAGGATAGGAAGAAAGTTGTTCGAGAACATAAGGAACGAGAGAAGGATATGCTAAAAAAGAAGTTGGAAGAGGCAGAAATGAAGAGCTATTCTAGTTTGCACAAGCCTGAAAAAATGTCAACGAACTATGATGATGATAATGATTCTGATGATTTTATGTGAGAAAGCTCAAGAATAAAGTACTATATTTTTAATTACATTTATTTTAATGATTTTGTAAAGACCTAGATGCTTCTGGATCTTAATTCAGCATCAATGTCTTAACTTGCCTAAGCATGCATTAAGTAATAATTTTATTAAAAGATTATAGCAATCTGCTTTATCGACACCTATTTTTGTTTCTTAGCAACTGAATTTGTTAAATTAATAAAAGAAGTCCTACAAAGATATTTAAAAATGTTCCAGAATATTGTTAATCCAGAGGAAATTGATATATTTATACATTCAATAAAAGAGTTCGATATCAATGATATTGGAACAAAATCGTGGCTTGAAGTTCATGAAAAATTACTCAAATTAAATCAACAGTCTATTATTGAAGCATCGACTCACCAAGAAGAAGTCGTCAAGGAAATTATTGTGATCCAAGAGAAACTTCCAGTATTGATCCATGAAGCTTATTCTATTTCTGTATGGCGTTCGAAAGTATTGCCAAAGTTATTGGAATCAGGCGAAATATCTGCAACATTTTTCATCTATACTGTCTTGTATCACGAATTGATTGCAGTTTCTTTACTAGAAACCGTTTGTTACCATGAGAGCAGTTCCGAAAGTCTTGGTGAACTAGTCGTGGATTTGATTGACTATTGTGTATACTCAATTACTCAATTAATTGGTCTATGTCATTCAGGATATAGCCATAAAGTCTTTGACCCTAAAGAAGAAATTGAAAGAAGTGTCGAATTGAAGAACCAACGAGATGACATTATCTTTAATATTGGAATGAAGAGCATCACAATCTTGAGTTATTTAAGTGATAAAATCTCATCATTGTCAATAAGTGCAGCAAGAAGAATGACTCAAACGCATGATGTTCCGTGCATGCTAAGTGAACTTTTAGCTGTTCGACCGTGGATGCGAAGACTTAAAGGATTTGAAAAATATATAGACGGAAAATGGACATCTGTTGAAGGTGATGAAATTCTTAAAGTGACAAAAGTTGAAGCACAGACATGGTTCTGCCTACGTGCCATCATGTTTCATCGTGAAACATTTGAAAATTATGAGATTAATTCATTCCGTCAACGAGAACTAGGAAAGTGCTCGGGACTACTGAATGAAATGATTTTAGATCAGCTACCACCTTTAGCTGAACTAAAGCAATTTCTGTGCACCTTACAAGTCAGTGGAGACACTCAAAATAATCTTAATAATTTAATATTGGAAGTCATACCTGAAGTAAGCATGCTTAATGCCTATGAGCAGTTCATGTTGAATTTATTTCAATTAAATTTCTCTCCTTTATTCTTCATTTCGTTTCATTTCTTTTTTAAAAATTTCTCATTGCGCAGATTAAAGACAAGATAATTGAAAAAGCAAAGAAAACAGGCTGGAAAAGTATCATTGAACAGCATAAAAAATTGTTTGTGGATATGAGTGAGAATGAAGTTGTGGAAACAGCTAAAAGGTATAAAGATTCTCATGATTTACTTTTTATTTTAGTGTCTGTTCCTGTATACATGCTTTTAATCATTTTCATTTAATTAGATTGAGTGATGCTTACAATTTTGAGTTTATGGCAGATTTTGAAGAGCACCAGTCAAAGAATCGAGAAGATAATGCATCAAGGAAGCTCTGCACAACGTGCCAAAAACCTGCAGAAAAGAAATGCTCGCGATGCGAAGTTGTGTTTTATTGTTGCCGGTAATTGATACAAAACTTTTCATGTCTTATTCGTGATTAGCGTGTGAGCTTAGGAAAGATATTTGATGCAAATGTTCTGTCTCATTTTATTGTTGAACTCCCTTTTGATGCGAAACTTTCTGCTTCAAAAAGTTACTGAATTCACTCCTGAAGCAAAGTATTCTGCTTCAAAAATTTCTGAACTCACGCATGATGCGAAACTTTCTGCTCCAAAAATTTCTGAACACACTCATGATGCGATACTTTTTGAATCAAAAAGTTACTAAATTCACTCCTGAAGCAAAGTATTCTGCTTCAAAAATTTCTGAACTCACGCATGATGCGAAACTTTCTGCTCCAAAAATTTCTGAACACACTCATGATGCGATACTTTTTGAATCAAAAAGTTACTAAATTCACTCCTGAAGCAAAGTATTCTGCTTCAAAAATTTCTGAACTCACGCATGATGTGAAACTTTCTGCTCCAAAAATTTCTGAACACACTCATGATGCGATACTTTTTGAATCAAAAAGTTACTAAATTCACTCCTGAAGCAAAGTGTTCTGCTCAAAAATTTCTGAACACACTCATGATGCGATACTTTTTGAATCAAAAAGTTACTAAATTCACTCCTGATGCAAAGTTTTTTGCTTCAAAAATTACTGAACTCTTTTTAAAGTTTTACATTCAACTAAGTTTTGGATGTCGAGTAACTGACTAAGAAAAGATCTTATTTATTAAAAGCAATAGTGTGTTTGATCCAATTTGAAACATATTTAAGCCAAGCAAGCTCAAATATAAGTAAAATCCATTAGCACATGCTGATTCTCATGTTTAACAATTTTTTTCTACATTTACAGTGAATGCCAGGTCAAAGATTGGGTCAATCATAAAGAAAAATGCTATCAATATGTACAATAATCAGAGAATGAATGAGTTTAAAGTGGGAACTTGCGTGTATATAATAGAAATTTAACGAGATTTTGTTTTCGTAATGCAACTCACGTGTAAACGCATCATCATGCAACAAGTAACAGTCATTATGTTAATTTAAATATAAAAATACCTTCATATGGAATACTCATGTGCGATTCTAATTCAGAATAAATTTGTAGTCAGAACGAAAAAGTCAGTTTGCAAAAAAAAAAGAAATGAGGAGCATAGCTTACTACTTTCTAGAATTTATTTTCATCACCTCATGCTTATCTTGTGATCTCGAGTCTGTGGAAGACACTAGTGGATGTGATTTTGATTCATTACTTCTCGTGAATCCTCAAACCGGTTTTACAGTAGCAGATGAGAATTGTGGTCTTGAAGTAGATAAACGAACATTTGAAGATCAACCTTATGTCTTTTATCCAAATGCAAGAGATGACTTGAAGTATACTTTAATTATGGTTGATCAAGATGATCCTTTCACTGAGGACGACAATGATTTTCTTCAATGGATGGTGATTAATATAAGCGGAACATCATTGAAATATGGAGTCGGGGAGTTTTATGGCGAAACTCTTGTTGGTGAGTGCTTGACTTTTATTTAAAGATTGGGGGCTTTTCACAAATGACGGCAAAGAAGATAAAATATTTATGGTTTGAGATTGTAGTCTAATCACTTCCGGCTTGAACAGATATAAGTAATGGCTACACGGTTAAACTGGTAAACTTCAAAAATCAAAATTTTGTTGAATTTAATCATAAATTTAAGGAAATGAATTTTTAATTGTCGGAAAAATCAAAAGATTAGCTACAAAATTCAAAATATTAAGAACAGATGGTCAAATTAATTCAAAAATCAAAAGAAACTGTGACTGAAAGAAGAGTTTATACTGTTGATCATAGATGTTCAGAAAAAGTTCTCGTTCAAGATTTATACTAATTTGCTTTAACTTCAAACTTTGATATCTTTCAGCTTACATATCACCAGATCCAGCCGAAGATACTTGCACTCATCGCTACACGATCTACATTTTTGAACAAATATTTTCACCACTTACCTTTCCAGAGCTTCCTGATTTGAGATCAGAATTTAAAATTAATGATTTCATTGAGAATGTCGTTCCGAAAGGCGCATTTTGTGGACCAGTTGCATCAATTCAATTCCAATCAAGATTTTAAAAAGCACTAAATTATGTAACGTAATTATCTATGCAGTAGGAACTTTCCATTTTCATCAATGAATGCACTTTCGTTATGAATGAATTATAGGTAGTCACAAGAAATCAATTATAAATTCCAGTTGCACATATGCAAAGTATGTTTTGTAACTGCTAACTTGATCAATCTGTCCATCTTAGCATGTTTGCTTGCCAGCTGTCATAGCCTTTACAACCTGAATATTTTTGCATTCATAATTTTTTAATTTTATTTCATTCAAAGTGTTAAGTAAAGCTATAATTAAATATTCGCAAAATACACACATCATATTAATTAATTGAGCGAGTAGCATTTAAATACCTTTTTGTAATTATAATCAAGTTTAATTTCTTCATAAATTCAGTGTTTTAGATGTTAAATGCATGATTTCAATTGCTTAATAAATTGCGATAATTTTTTTTTCGTGTCAATGATAAAATATTTTGATGCATTCGGATCTAACCGATCATTTAATTCCAATTAAATTTTGCAGTTCCTTCGATGTTGAACCCATCAATTATTATTCTACGGCACCAAAAAGCATGAATGAAGCACAATACACGTAAAGCGCGATCTCTGCAATTGTGAAACGTGATAGTTGGGGATTTAAGCGCCTAAGAAATAATACCAATATCAAGAGTTTCATTCATAAATTTCTTGTGTGTTTCAATCAAGCTTGGAGCCTCGGCACATAATAGCTTTTTCAGCGCCCACACAAATTGTGCCCGTTTTACGTTCACAAACACACGAATGGCATTTACACAAATTTATGAATGAAACAAGAAAATCATCTAAATAGTATGGAACATGAGACACACATGGTATCTATGTGAAGCATTAGGCAATCATCTGATCGTAGTTGAATAAATCTGCCAAAGTCTATCTATTTTCAATATCGTAGACACGGAACGAGACCGGAAAGTTGTAACATATTTTTCAACCTTTTCCAACATCATCTAAATTTATCACGTCGTGTGCCAATCAAAATTAAATACTTTTATTTATAGATGATCATGTAATAAAGTCCCATGCTTGTGTGATGTTTGATTCATCTCATAAGCGATATTTTTTTTTATTTTTCAATTTCATTAATGGATTTTAAAGATTTCATTGAGAGATCAAGACATGTATGAATGAATCAATGAATGAATGGATTTCGCTGGAAATGACGGCGTTAGATCGGAAAGGAGTGCGAGAGGTTAGGCACACTTAATGTGGTAACTCAATGCCGTAAATCTGCTTAATGTACATTATTTTTTTTAGGATGATTTAAACAAAAGTAATTAATTTTTATAGTTTTGAGTTTCTATTTTTGGTATGTAAGAAGTTATTGCTTATTTTTTTGTGAACGATTAGTGCTTAATTTGGATATTGCAATGTCATTACAATAGTTTTGTGGATCGGAAGACATAAATTAAGGAAATGATTGAATAATTTAAATTCTAGGCAGGGTTTCTTGGTTATACGATTAGTGTAGCCTCTTTTATCTGTTTTAATCTGGTTCCTTTTAAAACAGTAGTTCTGAAAAATTTTGGATTATAACAGCAAACGATGTTTAGCGACACATCACCAGTCTTTATCTCTTTCAATTGATTGTATGATATATCCTTGTATTTTTCTCCTGAATTGTGAATTATCTTTGGGGCCGTTCACTTATTACGTTCGCATTTTAGGGGGGAGGGGGTTTTGAAAAATTGTAACAAAATGTAACATTGGGGGGGGGGGGGGGGGGTGTCAAGAAGTATGTTACGTTCTAACTGTCGTCTGTCTTTTAAAAAAAAATGATGACGAAAAAAATTTCCAAATTCACACCAAAAACATTTTTTTTAAATTTTCCACCTTTTTAATAATTTATGAAAAATTATCAAAATAAAATAAATTATTAACGTTCAGGGGGGGGGGGGGGGGGGGGGGAGGGTTGTGAGTTGTAACATATTGTAACAAGGGGGGGAGGGGGGGTGAAAAAAGTCGTTTTTTTGTGTAACGTAATAAGTGAACGGCCCCTTTCAAAAACTTGAACAATAAACATTTGAATGATAAGATACAACCTGAATGATGACTAAGATCCAGCAATTGTTTTAATAATAAACCACAGAGTATTAATCAGGAAGTTAGCAGTTAATTAAAGCCATAAATGCGCTCTATCTATAATAGGTAATAATACTATTACTTCTGTAAGTAAGAAATAAATTAAATGCATTTCAAGCCATAGAATACAAACTTTACACCCTTTACAGCTGACTTAATTCAACTTCCATTATTCTTTTGGTTAAAAACATAATTTAATTTACTCAATTATTAACACAAATATAATAATAGCAATAATAAGTCGTACATACCTATAATGGTTTAAAACAAGAATCTTGAACAACAAATGAGCACATTAAGGGTAGGGCTTAATAATCAAATGAATGAAAAAAGGCAGCAAGAAACTTACATTATATCCATATAAGTGATAACAGAATAATGTAATAATAATTAAATTTTGCGAGGGCGTATCGAGATTTTTTTCTTTCTTCTTTCCATCTCCTCTCCTCTCGCGCATAGTTGTTGTTCTGTTTCGTCGCAATATAATGTTACTTTTTTTGCGATATACATAAGACAAATATAAAAAAAAATAATAATAATAAAATATTTACGAGTCAACGAAAAAGCATGAGTGGGTGGCACGTCAGTTTCCTGTTCCTCGAAAAGCAATTGAAATGCTTCGTACCTTTTAATTTTTCCAAACATGAAAAAATAATATAATTTAAAACAAAATTGTGCACATTTTCGTGATATTGTCATCACATAATCAACGATTGGTAAGAAAAAAAAGAGTGTACGAGATTGCATGTAAGATGGTCATTCATTTGGGGCCAAGATTGCCATTAAAAAAGGATTTTCAACTCTGAATTGACTTTAGCTTTATTAAAAGGAAATTTTATCTGTCATCAATAACAACCAATTGAGTCTTAGCTTTATATAGCCAAAACTAGATTAATCCAATTTTTATTACCCTATTTTACATATTTATAGTCAAGTATCTGCGATGTAGTGATATTTTGCGATCATTGTCTATTTTTAACTCTCTGATCAAGCTGTTTGGTTGTGCTGTAGCAAAAGCGTTTCATTCATAAAAAAAAATTTACATTTTTTAATTCATTCATTCATTCATTCAACAAGTTTCGTGAATGGAAACTTGAATGTGTCGATAAAATTACGTCTCGACTCTTATGATCAATGTTACTCATTTGTGGTACTACATATCGTTATATTTATGTTTTCTTAAGTGCAATGATTTAACCCAGTTAACTATTTCTCGTACCCAGATCACACCACTCCATGCTTAAACATGAATTATCTTCATGGATTTAATGAATGAAGCATATAAAAGAATAATTTGAATAAATCATGCTGAAGAACAATTTTTATCCAACTTTTGCTCATATGGTAAAGATCTCTCTGCTTGCTGCATCTTCTTCTCGTCGTTCTTCTATTCGCGTTTGCCATCGAGGTGTGTCAACATCATTTCCTTAATCTTCTTTGAAATGCAATAAGATTATCATTTATTTCGTTTACACTAAAATGAATTTTATTCATTTTTCATATTTTTTATTCTTTCCTTTTCTTTCCATTCCAGATCTTAGTTTAGTCTTGGAGTAGATGATTTTGATGCATGCGATCTTCACAGTATGACTGATTAAATTGAATTTCTTGATATGTGATGACTTAATAATTTTAATTTGTGATTTTTAACATGTTTTAATCGTGCTCCAAAAAACAATTGCTTGTTTAACAACATTGGTATGGTTCTTGATTGAACTTTAGGTCAGATTTTCTAAAAACTCATCATTATCTCATCAAGAATGGTTTCATTTTAGACGAAAAAAAATTAAAAAGTAATTCACAAGTTACAATCTTTGAATCTTTGAACCAATATCTTGACAAAGTACTCAATGTCTGACTCTAAAAGTAACATAATTTATAATAATCTCAAGAAAATCCCTAGCAATCGAAAACTTTACACCATTTACCCTATAACCCCATAATCAACGATAGACTAGAAAAAGACAAGTCTATATAATTCATTGAATGAAGATGCAGACGGTTGCGAAAATAAACTCCACTTCAAAATGACACCAAGCGTTGTTTATTGAAAAAATAATAAACACTCGTGTCTAATGAAATAAACATCATTGATCAAGGAACGGAAATGAGTCATCTTTAAATGTGTAAAATCGAAAACTGTTATTACGTCGAGCTCATCATTAATCTTTCACACCATGACTCTTTTTTTCGCTTCTCTCTCTTGAAACCGCAATTACAGTAGGTATGACCCAAGTCAACTTTGTCAGTGTTTAAGACTCGAAAATGAACTTAATTAATTGTTGATCACATCGTTTAATAAATATTCAATGTGAATAGATTTACTTAATATGAATAATTACACACATTATCTACGGAAATTATGCATATAGCTCTTTAAACCATTAATTATTAATTATAACAGTTATTCAATGTTATATCTATATCGTTTACATGCTCATGTATTTTACATTTTTATGAATGAATATAGCTGGATTTTTATGAATGAAATGTAGGTGCAAAAAATTAATTTTCATATGTTTTAATGTAATCTATAGACTTCCATATAAATATACGACAACTAATGAAATATAAATAAAATTTATGAGCTACCTTGAATTATGATTAATTCGTTCTCTATAAATGACATTTGGCAGCAAAGTTTTTCCTTTATTAGAATTTTGCAAGATTTTATTGTGAAAGAAACGCAGTATTCTTTAGGAATGATTTCAACATGTGGACAGAACACGAACCTGTTAACGGCTGCCTCCACGGAACTTAGAAGATTTCACTTTATATGAGATCTTTCATTAATAAAAAGTAATCATCAACAAGTGACCTCCGTTAAAAATTGGATTTTAAACCCCCTTGTCATAAGTTCTAGACACACTCCTTGAATGTGAAACATCATCATTGTAATACAATCTACAATCTTTAATAATTATTAGGGTCCGTGGCTGTTTGAAACTAAATTCCAAACAAACATTATCTTCCATCATTTATGAACGACCCCTTAATGAAATGCTGAGAGAAATCAACATATGCGATCATTATCAATCTACTCTGTGGTAGTCAGATGACTTTGAGGTGATACTGCAATCAATCATGTGTCAAAGTCATAGCAATAAATCAATAAAGCACTAGTCAGTTGTCATATTTATCCAATACTGACTATTGCAAGTTTGAAGCTGTCACAAACCAGTCATTTCATATAGTAAAGTCTCGACTTCATTACAATTGATCTTATTAAGTCTTACTTCCATTTTTATAACTTTATAAATTTAATTTGCCAAGACCTCGTAAATGAGCTTAAAACACATGCTACCCGTGGCTTATAATTTATTTCTGTTTGAGCTTTCTTGCTGTGATTTACATGTGTTACCCTCAAGGAATTCTTTCTTAATTAATCGTTTAAAATTACTTTACTTGTAATTGTTCTTTTCTATTTTTAAAATGCAAATTAATTGCGTTGTCTTAGAAATATGCATGTACCTTTTCTAGAATGATGAGTATTTCATGACTTAGGTTCCATTAAAGATATTTGAAATAAAATAATATGTGGAAAAGTTAAATAGATGTTATGCTTCATCGAGGTTTTCAAGTTCAATACCTGGTAATGACCTTTTATTTAAGAATTCAAAGCATCATCTTGCACTTTAGATTTCGACATTTTGTCTATATTATGTGTATGGACAGAATAGAATCTATAATAAACAATAATTCATTTTTATACTTCTATTGCCACAAACCTACTTTAATAGAAAAGTCAAGGCGGTTCAAAGAAATTTAATTATCTTTAACAGAAAGGCCAGACACAAAGCACGCATAGCTGAAAACAAATTAATTACAATCTACTAATTATATTACACCGTATTAAACGTTTTCACCTGCATATTATGCCTAATACCTCTAAAAATTGATTTATGAAATTCTACTGAGTGAACAGTGAGCAAGAGGATAAACAGTAGTTGAATGATAAATTGAGGATCGCATCCACCTGTCTATCTGTTACAATAAAAGATTTAAAACGAATTTTTCATCATTTACATAATTTTATCCAAATTAATTAAAGCAAATCTCATCAGACTCGCTTTTTTTTACTTCGGCAAGCGGCAATCAACGTATGAGATGATAGAAAAAATAATCATTTCCAAATAGAAGATAGGAAAAGAGAGAGAGAGAGAATCATTATACAAATGAATTGATGAAAGCTAAACAAACAATTATTCAACATGATCAGCGAGGTAGAATAGAGAAAAGAGAGACACGAATAGTCAATTTCTTTTTGTCTTAAATTTATTGACTTGTTTCATTCGGCAATTAACATAAATTACCAGAAAGCGAATCGAAATTCCACTGCTATGTTAATTACATGTTTTTAAGTCCACCGTTTAAATTTATTATTATGTTCATTCTCTCTTGCTCTTACTCTTTTCTGTTAGACTTTTAACCCATTATTGAGATCATCATCGACTTTATTAATTCACCTGTCAATCTCAACAAATTTTCACCTTTTTCCTACTGAACTGTGACTAATAATTTAGTATGTAACATAAATTTATTCAACTAATTATTATAAAAAAAAGGAATTTTAATTCAGTTAATTTATGACACGAGAGGTCTTGGACAGCGATTTGGTAATATACAGGTACCGGTAGCACTTCGTACATAGCCGTGTTTACAGAAACACCCTGAGATTGGAATATCTTTTGGACATTTGGCTTCGATTTCGTCAGCACGTGAATAGCTGTCACAGGTAAGTTGACATGGAGATCCGTGGATTTTGTATTCCTCATTAGCTAGGCAAAGTCGAGCTGGGAAGGGATATAAATTTTAATTATTATATTCACACCGTTTTCACGTGTGAATCTATTGGTTTTGTTCAGATTGAAAAATCAGTTTTTTGAATTTTGTGAGGATATGGAGCAAGATAGCTTAAAATGTTCAGAGATGAAAAGTTTGTGCCTTGAATTTAACATCTTTTGCAAAAAAAAACAGATTTCAAATTGGTTGCGGCATTGCTGAGAAAATCGCAAAATAAAAGAATGAAGTTGGGACAGGTCTAGTCAAAATCTAGTTTTTCACTTTTTTTCTTCGAAGGTTTATCCAATTACAGTGAAACTTTGAGTGAGTATACTAATATTTATACAAAACAGTTTTAAATATCTAAAGCAAGAAATGTATTCTATATGTCGTCAGACTCAAATTTTATAAATTTGGTTTTACATTCAAAAACAACGTGCCTTAAAATTTTGTCCAAAAAAATGATTTTTATTAATTTAGAAATGTGTGACCTGAAAATTAGAATGCTCATACAAAGTTTTACTGTATTTGGATTTATCCTCGAAGAAAAAAGTGAAAAACTAGATTTTGACTGGACCTGTCCCAAGTTCATAATTGAAAATGTATTTCCTACTTGGTTCTTTGCTCAAAAAATTTTTAGGATGTTTTAATTTCTATTTGCTTTAAGCACTAGAATATTTATGCAAAGTTTCAATTTATTTGGATAAACCCTCGAAGAAAAAAGTGACAAAATTGATTTTGACTAGGGTCGCCCCTAGTTCAAAATTGAAAATGTATTTCCTACTTGGTTCTTTGCTCAAAAAAATTTTAGGATGTTTTATTTGTATTTGTTTTAAGCACCAAAATATTTATGCAAAGTTTCAATCTATTTGTATAAACCCTCGAAGAAAAAAGTGACAAAATTGATTTTGACTAGGGTCGCCCCTAGTCTAAAATTGAAAATGTGTTTCCTTGTATGTACTTGGTTCTTTGCTCCAAAAAATTTTGGGATGTTTTATTTGTATTTGTTTTAAGCACTAGAATATTTATGCAAAGTTTCAATCCATTTGGATAAACCCTCGAAGAAAAAAGTAACAAAATTAATTTTGACTTGGGTCACCCTTAGTCCAAAATTGAAAATGTATTTCCTTCTTGGTTCTTTGCTCAAAAAAATTTTAGGATGTTTTATTTGTATTTGTTTTAAGCACTTAAATATTTATGCAAAGTTTCAATCCATTTGAATAAACCCTCGAAGAAAAAAGTGACAAAATTGATTTTGACTAGGGTCGCCCCTAGTCCAAAATTGAAAATTGATTTTCTATGGTGTACTTTTGTCAAAAAAATTTTTTGGATGTTTTATTCGAATTGACATAATTCTGACATAAATCACATACCAATATTACTTTTTGTAATGCATAGCTTAAAAAAATCGAAATCTAAAATTTCGACTACCCCATCTGAATTTTGTTCATACTCTTCACTGTGGAAACCAAAAAACAAATTCTTTATCTTAAAACACTTGACAAAATAGCTACATAATTCAGGATTAATTACTTTTTAATAATATTTTAACATTTACGAGAAAATGTGGTTCAAATAAGTGTGAAGTATGGCCGAGATTGAGACCAAAATCAGCTATACTGGTTCATAGTGTTCCCGAGGGTGACCAAATTCAAACTAAGTGTTTTGTAACTGATATAATTATGACATAAATTAGGTATAACTTTTGAACTGTGTCGATATGGGTCTCGACTGTACTTCACGCCCACCCTTCAAACTTATGCTGAGCAAATCTTGGTCTATCCATAAGACTTTTGATGGTACGGTGTGAATATATCCGCATTGGGTTTCTACCCGATACACTAGTTTGGATTCGTATTACTGATTGTGATAAAAGCAGTTGTCTACAGTCTCTTACTTATTTTGGTATCAATATCGCCAAAAGAGCAAATTCATTTACATTGTTTCAATTGAGAGACTCGAAAAGAATGAAAAATAACTTACTTGGACAGTCCACAGGCTTTATACATTTGTCGTTAAATCTAACGTATCCATCTTGACAAAAGCATCCTGTAATTTTACAGCAATTTATTCAATAGCCCATAATCATCGTAAAATATCTCAAAATTTACCTGGATGACAACTTCCAGAGAAAATTGATTCACAAATGGCTCTTGTGTTTCCTCCACTTATTCGTTGTTGGAAAGAACACGTTTGTTGGCATCGTGGACCACATGCATTGTAATATTCATTTGCATGAGAGCATCCTTGCGTTGTCCAATGTTCAGTAGTCGATGATACTGATTCCTCAATGACTTCATAATCTTCATCTTGTCGACCTTGCATTTCAGGTATTGAAGTCACTGATTCTGGCAAAACTCCATTAATTGAAATTTCATTAGCAAAAGCTCCACAAATTAAACAAAAAATGTAGAAATTCATTTTCAGACGCACTCTTGGACTAGTCACAATCAAACACAGAATTAAACTAAGCATAGAACTTTCACATTACCATCTTTTATACGCTTTCCTCTTTCTCTTGGTCGTCTTAAAATGATTTAAGTAGATCTTTAAGCGTGCACGGTTGTGAAAAGACAACAAAATTAATTTAGATGCTTTGGATGTTCTTTAAATCATTTTAATGACCAAATTTGAATTTTACTATGTTGTGCTAAATGTCCACATGTTTGGTTAATATTGATTATCCTTTGCTTTTTGCGAGAATTTCGAGGGATGATTAACTTTGATGAATTTAGATATATCTGAAATTTATTTTGGTTTTGTCATGAACATTGAGTTTAAGCGGGAAGTGGGTTAAGTTTTTTTTAAAGTTTTATGACCAAATGAAATGAAATGATTCTAAACTCTAAACGACATCTTTGAATAGATTTCATTGACCAAAGAATTATCTAATGAAGTTGAGCTACCTTGTAGAATCTTCGATTCTTTTTTTTCTCACACTAAAGTTTCTAATTAGGTACCATATGTTTCAAATTTAATGATTTTTCAACGCATAATTAAAGAAAAATTAAAAAATCAAAAGCGAGACTCAAATGAACATTTAAAATAATATTTAATAGACTTTTCCCTGCAGGTTGCATCGAAAATTATAGCAGAAATAAAATTTTTTTACACCAAGCAAGTCTCTTTTCGTCTGCCGAAATCTCCACAATCAATTCATATCACTATCAATATCATCAATGTGAATATGCTAATATCCAAAATGATCTGCGATGTGTTTAATGAAATGCCGTTCCATGGTATGTTTATTTTTTATATGTGGACATTATTAAAGACTTCACCACTTGTTTGCTTTCTTTGATTCATTTCGAAAAATTAATTTTGATGTTCCAATTTTTTTTCTTTTCGTCTCTCTTCTTTGCTTTGTTTTGCCTTTCAACTGATTAGCTGCTGACGGATTAAAAACACAGAGAATTTAATGAGGCAATCTAAATGATAATGTGTTTACTCTCTACTCGATAATCTCATGATAACCTGTGGTGATATTGTAAATAAATTCCTCTTTAGCATACGCATTAAAGCCGCAAATGAATTGAAGCTCTTTTTTTTTGCTATAGCAATTGTTTTAAATAGGGATTAAATTGAGTGGAAATTGTGAGGTGTTTTAAATTGTAACTTGAGACGTAAATTTCTTGAGAATTCCATAAGTAATTTAGATAATACACATGCATAAATTATAGATTTCATATTATACACCATCAATAATGAAGTCAGTAAACTCTCATTTAACGTTTACTATTACCAATAACTACTTATTTTAAAACCTCAGTGTATTAATATCGCTGATCTATTAAATCATAACAACTGAGAACAGCACAGAGATATAAACAACATGATCAACTAACTGCATAAGCTAGTATTAACATGCAAACGCCTATTAATTTGATATATAGCGGCTGTATTAAATATAATATAATATTTGCAGAACATTTTTACCTCTAGCTTATCTCACTCTCCTTCTTTACCATAAATATTATGTTTTTTCGATCACAGTTAATGATCATTGATATATTTATGTAAAATTAAAGATTTAAACTCTCAATTTCTTTATTGGCGCTATTAATTTTGTAAATTTCTAATTTTATCGATCTTATTAGTTTTGCCATAGTTGGAGTTCATTTAAAATTTAAATATAATAAGGATTTTTGTGTAGCAACCATGAATAACAGGGGCTTCAACCCAACTTTTCGTCCCTATGTATAAGATTTTACAAAATGGCATTGAACACTGGTTCGGCTAATATCCAAACCATGGAACATTATTGAAAAATTAGAGAGTTAAATCCTTGCGGTCTGAACTTTCAATATTGAAATTCTTCAACCAGTTACGACAAAAGTTTTGATTGATCACACAACCATGTAAATCAAACCTTAATCTCCCCATACATCAAAGATTTATTTTAAAAACGCTTGAAAAATTTCATCAATTAAATATTTTACAATAATTTTATCTTTTCGACTTTAACATTTTCTATGGAAAGAAAAAAAAAGATTTCTGTAATAAATGAGAAGAAAAATAGTATTTACCATATATGGAAAGGACAGCTTTTATTTAATCAAAATCTAGAGTGAACTAAAACGAAATAAAAGTATAATAAAAAAAACTGATATTTAAATATGAGAAATCAAAGCACTATGACGATATGTTAATTAAACGATTTTGTAAATCATATTATGTGCTGTAATAAGTAATATAATTAAAGGCGGAGTGCTTTGTTATAAGAGATAGACCGCAATCCCGAAGGCATTTAAATTATGTATAATTTTTGCAGTTATAGAACCATGTGTGTTTAAATAATTCAATATTTTTTTTTTATTAATCGTGTGCTATTTACTTACCTATCACTATCATTTTCTAGACATCACACTTGCTGATCTTGATGTATTGTGTGAGCTCACGTATAGTGGTGGCTTCTCAAAGAGCTAGTAATTTATTTATTGATGTTAAATTTCCAGGCAATTGATGATCGGCATGCTCTTATGCATGTTTAACCACGATTGCATGATTTGCGCCATTGATTTGTATGCGCCCCATAATCTAATATCAATAAATTACAATTTATGCAACATATACACACACCATAAAGCACATCATAAATGCCAATAGGTTTGAAATGAAATCCCACACGTACGGTCGAATGAAGACGGGAATGTGATGTGAAACTATGGCAAATTGTTCAATATATATATGTATATGCACATGCCTATATATCCCGCGTTATTTATTGCAATTTGCAATTGCAATAAAGGTAAATACTGTGAATGAATGAAAAGAATGAATCAAAACACTTTGCGGGAACAACAAAAAAAAAAACGTATGAAATAAGAAGGAATGAAGGCTAAAATGATAAAAAGAAAAATTGATTTCATAAACTATAGTGAACTTCAATTTTTTATACACATGACGTGAAACAGAAATTTAAATCAATAATTTACAAATGCAATAAAGAAAGCATTAATCAATTACAATCGAACGTACGACGATAATTTATCTTGAGATGATGCTCAACTTTATACATACACACGGAATGCTTCATTCAAATATTCTTAACTTTCAATGTTAATCTCCAATAAATGGAATATCATGAAATTTGAAAACATTTCGCACATGCACTTGTAGCGTTTATTGATGGTTTATTGAATTTAAATGAAATTAAAATTAATTAATGAATTGAACATTTTGCACACATGAGGTTTTCATATTTTATAAATTGATGTTTTTAGCGTGTCTTACACAATTTGATTAGGACACACATGGCAATCATGAATCCATGTTTTTCAAGACATTGAAAAATGACGTCGATCAACAAAAGAGATCTTTCCCGTCACAAAGTTTTAAGAAATATAAAAATCTTACTATCAAGCATGACTTTTGAGTCCTGATCTAATTATGTGTAAAGTCATTTGTTTAAGGCTTATTGTAATACAAATGTTTGAAGAACAAGCTGATTAACAATAGCAAAATTGACATAAAATCTTTTAATTTAGATTCTATCAGTAGCTTATGAATTCCAAGCGGAACTTTTTGCTGCAATATATAAAATCCTGATTCCAACAAAAAAAGAGAAAAAATGTTTCTACTGGCTTCCATTTCCATTAAAATCACTAAAATTAAACAAAAACGCCGAAACCCAAATTCATTGTGACTGAAAGGTATCAAATTTACTTCATTCTCAATCCCATTTAATTTACCAAGAAGACACAAAAACTTATTTTCTTCTCAACAGCACACTTTAAGATAACATCAATGAAATTGATGACCATTCTAAAATTTCAACTCTTCTTATTTACAATTCTCATTCAGAATGCATGAAAAGATTCGCTGCCAGATATGTGAACGCTACTGGACATCATATATTTGCATTTCCAGTAGCTACCAAAAAAAAGTCATTAACAGAAAGAAACAAAAATTTAAGCTTCCATTCTTGTTGTTATTAAAGCAAATAAATATCAAGTTGGAATTTCAACATTCGTTGAGCTTCAAGACAAATTGATATCATTATATGTCCGATCTCAAATGTTTTGTATACAAAATATTTATACGTATATGCATATGTATGTGGTTTTGCCACTCGCGTTGCGGTTTAGTAGTTTAACAAATATTAATTGTGTTGAGAAGGAGTGAGAGAGGAAAGACCAGTAGTTTATTAAGTATGAGTATGAGGAATTGTATGATGAAAACTCATTAAAAGTCATGTGCCGATAATTTATTATCAAAGGATGGAGATGTTCATATCAACATTATTAATTTTAAATTTAATACAGGGAGTATCAAGGGAGGAAATCTGGTCATGTTTTACAAGCAAATTACGTGGTTATTGTCAATGTTTAAAGTATTTTTAATCTTTCATCCAGTGTTGTTAACCTTGATGCTTGGAACGACTTAGGATTTAGTCAAGTTTCAAGGCATAGTGTCCAATTCCTCCCAAAAATGTAATGACAAATAGTTAAGGTTAATTTTAAGAAACTTAGCAACTAGTCACTATCTGAACTAGTTAATGAGACATGTCCAGATCAGATACGAATGGAGACAGCAGTTCTGATATCGAAATAAATTCAATAAAGCTATGATTGAAATAATAATATCAAGCTAAAATATGCTGTTAAACCTTGAGAAAAGAATTTCTCAATTAGTAAAATAAGCCATTAAAGATCATTCCTAAGCATCATCATCATCTTTTTCTGTCGGTTCCTTTTTTATAGAAAATATGTGTTTATTTATTTTCGGTCCCAAATAATTTGACAGATATTGAGAGAAGTTATCTCGTCTCACCTAATAATTTTTGATGATGAACATTATACATTTTTTTTATGAATCGTATAGCTCAAATAATAACTTGATTTCTTATTATTACTATATAAACATTCACGATGCGAAAAGAACAAACTTTAAGAGAATCATGTCGCGAATAAATTATTTCATTTTATATATACTTTTTCTGTTGTACTGTACGATTCGAAATAAAAAAAGGAAGAATATGAAAAAGAGATAAAAGTGGAGAGAAAGAATACACAGCAACATAACATTTGACCTTATGGTTGTTCTTCTGCCAGACAAATTCAAATAATTCAAACAAAATTATAATTTGCACACACATATATACAGTCAGGGTGGCTTATTTACTTACATATTAACTGCAGTACAGAATGAAAAACTATCACTAAAATCTCATCTTCATTTAACTTGAAGTTCCTCGAAGTTTGAGT